GTTGCACATGTGTCTTAATTTCATCTTGTCGGTATTGTGTACCATTCTTGTACAACAGGTCCAATTCTGTTGGCCTCTCCTCGTAATTCAGCCCTAAACTCAAGTACAAGCCTTGTTGCACTCTTCTACTCTTTCTCCTGTTTCTTATGCTTTTTCAGATGCGGGTTCCATACTGGTGCTGCATACTCCAAGATGGGCCTGACGTTTGTCATATAAAGAACCCAGAATGACTCTGTTGGGATTCCTGAAGGCTACTCTTAGATTTGCCAGACGAGCATTGGCTGCAGAGGTTATTCGTCTGATGTGAGCCTCTGGCGTTATACTGGGCACTATGCTCACCCTTCGGTCTTTCTTGCTGAGTGAAGTCTGCACCTTCTGTCTCCCATAGTCTGCAACCCATTTCCGGTCTTCTTGCTCCTTCCCCAATCTTCATAACATTGCAATAACAGGGGTTGAATTCAAGCAACCACTTATCTGACCACTCCTGTGGTCAGATAAGTGGTTGCCTAAGTGGAGCCATTACCTGTTCTCATTTTTTATTTTTCTCATTAGTTTTACATTATCAGAAAACAGGAATATTTCTGAATCAATCCCATATGGAATGTCATTCACATAAACCAGAAACGGTACTTGTCCTAATACCGATCCCTGCGGAACCCCTCTAGTTACATGTCCCCCATTCTGCTGTCTCTTTTTATACTCACTCTTTGCTTCCTTCTCCTAAGATGCTCTTTGATCCACTGGAGGATACTTCCTGTTATTCCAAGCCTGAATCTGAAGTTTTTGGCCCAGCCTCATGTTGGGTACAGTATGAAACGCCTTCTTGCAGCCTAAAAAATGTAATCTACCCAACCTTCTTTTTCTCTGTTGTTGCACATCTGTTTGTCAAAGAACTTCAACAAGTTAGTAAGAAAAGATCTGCCATCCCTAAACCCATATTAGTTATTGTTTATAAGGCGCTTCCCTTCAAGTGTTCTACCACTTTTCTCCCTGATAAGTTCCTCCATTACCTTTCATGTCAAGAGAAACTGGTCTGTTGTTTAACACCTGTTTGTCTTCTTTCTTAGATCTAGGCACTACATTCGCTGTTTTCTAGATCTTTGGTAACTGTCCAGTATCCACTGATTTACTGAAGATCATATCTAGCGATTTAGACAATACCTCTGCTCCCTCTCACAGAATCCACATTGAAACATGTCAGGTCCCATTTCCTTTGATGTATACAGATCCATCAAAAGTTTACCTTTTTTCATGTTGTGTAAATGTTATCCAGTATTTTTCGGTGCTCCCTGTTCTTCAGCCTCTCTGGTACTGTCCGTTTCCACTGAGATCTCTTCAAACTGTTTTATCACTACATCACAGACTTCCTTGTTGCTGTTGTTGTTGATGATCTATACTTCCTCCCTATGTCGAATTACCTGGTCCTTTACTCTTATCTTTTTTTTTTCTGATGTGGCTGTGAAGTAGTTTCGGCTCAGACAAGGCCTTTGCTGCTTTATTCTCAAATTCTCTCTCAGCATCTCTCCTCAATCTAGCATATTTATTTCAGGTCAATCTACGCACTTCTGTGTTCTTGTCTGCCCTTTTCTTACATATTCTTGTGTCCCTGCATCTCTGGTTGAACCAAGGGCTCTTTGTCTTTGTCGTTTCTGATTTTCCAGCTAAGTATTCCATTATTTCATCCACTTATTTTCCTTTTAATTATCTGTCTCGATCCACCACATTCAGGAGGCCTCCGAACCCTTCAAAATTCCCCCTTCTAAACTTTGTCTTTTCACGCCCTCCACCTACTGTATTTTCCTCTACCTTAAGTTCCACTATGTACTCCAAGGTGAGGACTGCAAGATCACTGGCACCCAGAGGGCTCTGATACGTCCAGTCTTGCTGGTTCACCTCCTCTCTCCAATGTCGTGTCCTTAACGTCCTTACTCAGAAATTTTTCTCTGACCACCTCCATCAACTTATCCCTCCATGTCTCTGGTCCACCATGTGGGGCGTCCCAGTTCCCCCAGCTATTTCTTTATGAATGAAACCTCTCATTATAAGTATCTTCACTTTAGAGCTAAATACACTCCTGGCTGCTTCTGCTATGATGTTAACCATCACTCATTTGTTGTCCTCATATTCCTTTCTCGGTCTCCTGTTATTAGGTGGTGGGTTGTATATCACTGCAACTAATACTCTGAATCCCCCCGTCTTAATTGAGCATATTATGAGCATATTTAGTCCTTTCGCTTCTTCAAAATTCCACTGATTTCTAATTAATAATGCCACTCTTCCTCCTCCAGTGTTTTTTCTGTCTTTCCTTAACACTTCATATCATACCATCTGATATCATTTATGTCAACTCGGTCTAAGTTGTTCTTTCCTTCAACTAATCGTTATGTTTTATAAACCATCTGCATTAGTCTACCACAGATACAATTTTCTCTTTACCATGATTTGGTTTATGTCTCCTCCCTCTTCAAGAAACTCATCCAACAGGAATGGAGGAAGCTGGGTTGGGGTTGTGTGGTCCTCCCTACTGGGTAAGGGGACAAGATAAAGGTTAAAGGAAGGGACGGGATGGAGAGGGTGGTAGGGGGAAATGTGAAGGGTAAGGAGTTAGTGTTAGTGATGGTGCTGGGAAGGCAGGGACTGGTCCAGAGTTGCTGCAGCTGGGAAAGACGCTGAGGTTACATTTGGAGGAGTTCCCTGAGTTTGGGTCTTCCCACCTCCTAGCACCTCGTCTGCTGATCTTCTTAGCTCTCAACGGATTTTCACACACAGTACTACCTTATCTGCTTCCTCATGTCATCATTTGTCCAGACCTAGGTAGACACGACTGTAGCATTGCGAGGTATATGGGACCAAAGGATCAATTTGATTAGGTGGTGTTCGCCGTCGGAGAACATCCCAATCCTTTGAAAAGTTACCATCTGCCCTATCACTTCCTTCTCTCCTGTGTACTCCATGATCAATATAATCTCCAGCTCTTCACCTTCCCATGTACTACCTGGGCCAACTTCAGCCTCCTTCTTCCACTCTCTACCTCTCGTTTCCTCTTTCCAGATTTCTATGTTTTTACCATTTCCTTTGTTGTCTTTCTTATCACCTTCTTAAGTCTCCGTTGCTTCTTCTGTCTTTCTGTAACACTTCACTCCCTTACTCTTACTTTCTCTTCCAGTTTTAGGGCTTTGTCTTCTTATAAATTAGCCCCATTTACCTGTTCTGCTGCCTCTTCCTTGACTTTGTTATATACTGCCACCATTTCCTCCCGAAGGGAACTAAACTGTCTCTCAAAAATCTTCCTCACTGTTCCTCCTTCTATAGTCTCCTTCAGCCTTAACTTTTCCTCTTCCAGCCTTAGGGCTATTTCCTCTGCCACAATTGCCCTACTTATCTGTTCTATTTTTCTTTATCTCTTGCTTCACTGTAAATTGCTACAATTTCTCGCCGAAGGAAACTGAACTTTCCCTTAAGTTTTTCTCTCAGTTGGTCTTAAGGTCATCCATTATCGTTCCCAGGTAGTGCCAACCACTTTCTTCAGTCCTCTCCTCTCCCCGTTTTTTACAGTGCCTCTGACTTCCCATGTTTTCTCCTACGCGAAAACGTGTTTGTGTTAGTGATGTTATGTGTGAGCAGGTATTCAACAATGTGAGTTCACCAAAGTGTGTGTGTGTGTGTGTTTATAAGTGTGTTTGTTACTGTGTGTGTATACATATGTTTGTATGACTGAATTTGATAAAGTCTTCCTACTTTACCATTAAAATATGGCTGAATATATGAAATATTATTCGTATCTGCAGACACGCTTAATACTAATAAATAATCCCATGTACATCAAATTATCCCAGCCCACTAAACCCACTAGGCTTCCAGGGAAGTGACTCTCATAGCAGCAAGTTAATACCAAAGGTTCCATGTTCTTGGCATTGCCATGTGATCAGGGTAGCATGCCAAAGATTCCATGTTGCAGGCAGTTGCATGTGATCAAGGCAATATGCCTAGCACATGGCACCTTAAGAGATGGCTTAGATCTTTGCATGGCTGCAACTATTCACACCAGCTACTACTGCATTTAGAAAATGATGCTTGATGTCAGAGTATCACTACTGCCAACAGCTGATATTTCTTTGTCAAATTCTCACTGAACTGGGTTTAAATCTACTATACATCAGATAAAGATATGGATGTTGGACTATAAAAAGAATTCACACTTCTTAGGAAAAGGATACTAGGGGATGTTGCCTTTCATATATTTCCATTTTCTACCTATATTATATTCACTTCGTTCACTATCACTCAATTTGTCACTGGTTTCATCTTTACCTTTACGAGTCTGATACTGAAATGTGTTGTGTATGTTTCTTTCATAACACGTTATATTTGCAGGAATGAGGTGCTAAACATGTCCTGCTGGGCTGCTGCTTCACCTGCACTTGCATCCATGTCTTCATTAGACGATAACACGTTTTTTTTTTAAAAAAAAAAAAAATCAAAACATGCATCGCTAGAGCTTTCTTTATCGGTAATGTCTTCTCTTCAATGGCTTATATTTTCTCTTTGCCTAAAACTATGTCTTTCTGCATGGTGACCCCGGCTTGATGAACTTGAGAGTTATTTGAACAGACGTTGTTTTGGTGCATGCAACCAAAGATATTCAGCAGCGCTCAGAAAATATGCCTGCAAACTTATTCACTGATCTATGTCATGCCCAGTTCCAAATAGGAATTATCTCTACTATGTGATGGACAGTTTAAGGGCAAAACTTCAGACAAATTTTATTAGAGCTGCATTTTTGTTCGTGCTTTTGTTAAGTTCTCTTACTCTATATTTCACAAAATCTTCAAAATTGAATATATATATATAAATATATACCTTATATCATATAACATTGTGAACCTGATTGTCAACTAGCGTCTCAGCATTAGATCAGCTCATTAATGTTGAAGTTCCCTGTTCCATGCAGTATTTCAAGGATTAAGAATGCATGATGAATTTTATGAATGATGTCTGACCTGGGCGCAGGGCTTGCAGAGAGCTATACGAGGGTCTCCTGGAAGAAGACGCAGATTTGGTTGAGGAGCGCAGAGAGTGGTTTCTGCCTCTTGCTGGACTGCTGCTGGTGGATGCATTAGCAGCCAAGGCAAAGGCAGCATATGTTTCTGGTGGAGAGATATTCATAGTATTCTTTCTAAATAATGCAGTAGAAAATCTTGTGGAATGAGTGTATCAAACTTGCCTCACTACGTAGTCTAAATATTGATCAGACAGAACAAAAAAATTACACACACACACATACACACACACACACAACACACACACACACACACACACCACACACACACACACACACACACACACACACACACACACACACACACACATATATATATATATATATATATATATATATATATATATATATATATATATATATATATATATATATATATATAATATATATATATATAAATATATTATATATATATATATTATATATATATATATATATATAATTATGCAATAAGATCACAGTAAACAGGTGATATCAGAATATGCAAAATAACCACTGTCAAAAAATAGTGAAATTTCAAGCGCATTCGTGACTTCTCACATTATCATTATCATAGTTCCTTGATAATGTGAGAAGTCACGAAAGCACTTGGAATTTCACTATTCTTTCACAGTGTTGTTTTACACACACCACACACCACATATATATATATATATATATATATATAATATATATATATATATATTATATATATATAATATATATATATATATTATATATATATAATAAATATGTATGTATGTATGTATGTAAAATATCAAGCAGAAAAGTGTTGCAAGAAATAACAATAAAAACTAATAATATTTTTGTGTTAACTGTATAATATTTCAGATTTTGTGACAACAAAAATCTCAGTATACAGTAAATTATACTTATAAAATTTCATCAGATTCAAAATACTGGATGAGATATAATGAATGAAGTACACGGACAAAATCTATCATCTCCAGGAGTATTTCAAATACAAATACATTCTTCTCATAAACTTTCATTCTGACAAAATTATTCTACCTTTAAGCTTTTGTTTATTTCCAATCTTAGTAAGGTTTATGTGAGGATTTTAAATTACTGTGTTGGTATAAGACAAAAGGCAAAATAAATGCTTCCAGTAAATCAAGGAAAATGCAATCAAGAGATGTTGCCTTGATGCTAGTAAAGGAATCTTGATCCAAGGAACTGGAGTGCCCTTCCCTTCCTTGTGTCAAACCTGATTACCTCCCCTTCCCCAGGCTCTCTATGATTCTTCTGCGTTTAGCACTTCCCCTTGAAAATAATAATTTCAAGATATTTAATATGAGTATTTGCAAATATTGCTAATTCAACCTAAGGATGAGAAGGAAGCTAATTAATAATAACTAGCGTGCCCTCGTACATTCTAGAAAATAACTGAGTTAAACTTGGTACTTCAAGCAACAGTATTAAAATATTTACATAAGGGAACTACAAATGGGTCTCTTTACTATATAGTTAGCTCTAAGAATAGTGCTCAAGCAACAATACAGGTGATTTTTATTACTAGGAATTGCTGCTAAGCCTAAATCTCCTTAAATTAGATCACTGAAACCCTAAACTATAATTTATCAACTATACAATCTACCTATTGATGACTAGACAGTCTATTTGGTTAATATATTGATGCATTCAACGTTTACTCTAGCATTAACAAATAAAAATGGGATTGCTAACTATTACAGAAAATCTAAAAGTCAAAAGAAAAGGTTAGACCATTTGTCGTGGGGACTAACACTGAAAACGTGAAGGAGATCGAAAATCCGCAAATTATCGAAAATGTGAAAACTAAGAAGACCAAAAACAGCCTTCTAGTGTCAAAATATAGTTGGGTAGAGCATGGCATAATGCAGCATCAGCAGCAGCAGTAGCAGCAGACGCATGCGGGCGGGAGGACATGTATACCGCGAGGGTTCTGCTGGAGGGAGGGTGTAGATCTGACCCCTCGCCCAGGTATGCTTCGGGGGGACCCAGGGTGCTCAGGAATCACCCTCAGGGGTTGGAGGGAGGACCTCTGCTGGGAGGAACTGCAGTGGGGGGGCTGCAGAACTAAGGCAGAGGCACGGCGCTGGGGGTAACTCTGTCGGCGGGCGTACACTTTGTGCCCATGTGCATGTATACACACACGACGCTCACCTTCCCGGCTTAGCTGACCTGAGAGCCAACTTTACTTGTTGTGGCACACAGCCATCGACTCGTTATTGTACAGTGAGGGTGTAGATGATCTGAAGGTGACCTTAAAGTTGCATCAATCTAGTATGCCAGTAATGATTTACACTTCTTTGGGTATTTAGTACAGTAATGTATATTATCAATGGCAATTTTGATGATTTTTTTTAAGCTCAGCAAAAGACAGTTCCAGCTAAGGTTTCTACATACCGTATGTATTCCCAGTCCTGTGAAAGATTTTGTGGGAAATGTCTTCATTCAATGAAATGAAGAAGTCAAAATTATGCCATGTGCCAAAAATCAAATCAAAATAGGATTATGTCATACTAACACAAAGAGTGAGGGAAAAATATAAAAGAACAACACCCTTGGCAGCTTGCCACTACTGCAGTGTTATTAACGTAGTCAAAAACTCTAGAAAACTAATAACACGGTATAAAATTATAGAACATTATCTCTTCAGTTCTGAGCATGTTTTCTGGAATAAAACTATGCATACTGTACTAAAGTGAAATAGACACACTGCAATTATATATCAGCCAATATCCCAATGCAATATTAATTCATTAAGGGTCCACAACAAATTCAAATGACACAAGTGCTCCATCAACACAGCTGTATTTCAAAGTTTGCTCAGCAGTGAGTGTACATTAATATGAAATAAGTACATGAGTGCATGTTGTAACAAATTAGTACTATAATAAAAAAAAAAACATTGACATCAGCAGAAAAGCGGGACGGAAGATGCATGAGGGGGGTAACGCTTGCAACTCACCAGAGACCGTGAGGGGTGGATTAATATGAGCGTCTGCGTAACGACGTGGGCGTACAAAACGGGCGCGGGCAAAAATCTTGAGCACAAGACAGATGAGTGCGGACAACACGGACATGCCTAGACCCAGACCTAGTAGTGTGGGAACATCTGGCTTCAGGGAGTCTAAATCTGAGAAGATGTAAGGGTTACATTACACAGAAGGACACAGTACAACAAACTTTCAAACTGATACTGGAAAGTAAAAAATATGTTTACACAAGAAATTAGAAAACAAAATTAGATACAAAGGTTTAATTCCTAAAAACATGAGGTACAAGCCACTTGAGTTACAGTTAACTTGAAACACATTAAGCATCTAATCTTCCTCCTCATTCCTACAAAATATGGGCATAAGTCCTAGGATAAATGATCAACCTTTACTAGAATTTATTTATATAAAATAATTATTAAAAATAATTGTGTAATTAAATAAGAAAACAAAAGTTATTTAACGAAGGTTGGTACAACTGCACTGTGCAGTAACACTGATCTAAATGATGTTTTACGGGGATAAAACAAAAACTGGTTCAATAGAACTCTGCACCGTACATTATTTTTATTATGTGCTTTACTATACTGTATACAGTAAACCCTCATAATGCAATTCTGCTGCAACGTAACTAAAGAGTACAACCAAAATTTAATAGTGCATTAAAAACTAAATGATATTATGTATTATAAAATGCGAAAGAACCCAAAATCTGGGTATGATGGGCCATGCAATTTTTCCTTCCAAATCGAAGTTGGGCTTAAAGGTTGAGTGTTTGGAGAGGCACAGTTTCTCTCCTTCCCCGCTGCCAGACTCTGTGTTTACCAAACTACTGTGGATATTTTTATTACCCCATCTCATATCTGGATAATAATTATGGCGATCAAATTGTGTGACTTTGTAAATGGTCCAAGTCGGAACGAAACGTCAACGTAAGCTCCTGTCTCCTATGTGCGGGTTATTTGTGTATTGTCTAGTCACGATATTGTGCCTTTTTCTTATTTATAAATTGAATACTAGTGATGCTGGAGGTGCCAAGAAGGCGAATACGCAAGAATCTCTGACAGCTTTGAGGGAAGTGGAAATTTCAGATACGAAATGATATACATACAATGGAGACGTGCCGCACTTTTGGTCTGAGAAAATCAACCATTTGTACAGTTGCAGACAACGAGAAAAAAAACTTGTTCTAAGTAGTATAGATTGTGACCTACTGAATATAATATCAAAGAGGTCAACAGAGCTAAATACGGTGGAAAATGTAGATAAATGGTTTAAAGAACTGACAGAATGATGAATTAAACACTTGTGCAATACTTGCGTATCTTTATTGTGGGAACGTTTCGCCAGTGTCTTCCTCAGTCCAATACAGAGAAGAATGATTGAAGATCAGAAGGAGTTTGAGGTAATCTTGATAAGATTGATGGACTGATCACATCGACTCCAGGCTGAGGGACTGATCACATCGACTCCAGGCTGAGGGAGTGATAACATCGACTCTAGGCTGAGGGACTGATCACATCGACTCCAGGCTGAGGGACTGATCACATCGACTCCAGGATGAGGGAGTGATAACATCGACTCTAGGCTGAGGGACTGATTACCTCAAACTTTCTGATCTTCAACCCTATTTTTCTCTGTACTGGACCGAGGGATCCTCTGGTTGGCGAAACATTTCCACAATAAAGATTCCCAAGTGTTGTCTAATTCATAAGGGTGGAAAAGTTACTGAATACGTGGTTACAGAAAAAACAAACAAAGGGTCCTTACTTACTTCTCAGTTAATACAAACAAAGTCCTACTTGTTATAAAACTATGTATAAGAAAGAAGAGCCTTCACAACACTGTATGTTAAGTGCTAGATGGTTTGAAAGATTTAAAGAGCAAAATTAGCTTCGTAACAAAATTTATCGGCAAGAGTGTGTCAGCTGTTCACATAAATCTGCAAAATTACCAAGCTGACTTTGTGCAATTATTGCCATGAATAGTAACAGTCCCAGCAAAGTATTTAATGCTAATGAGGCTGGGCACTATTGGAAGAATAGGCTGTCAAGAAATTACATTAGCAAGCAGGACAAATATGAACCTAACAACTGAATTAATGTCAATACAAGAACCACAGCCATGCACCTCGGCCCAGTAGGGCAGCAGCAACCTTCTCCACACACATTTCTATGTCAACAAGCAATAACAACTAGAATATAAGATAAGATAAACTGAAGTCATTTTTATCCAGTAAAGATACTGAAAAAAACGTTGTTTGGCAAATTTAGAGCTGTACGGAATATATACTCATTTTTTTCCAAAATTGTCTTCACTTCACATTAAGCCATTTTTCAAAAGGTGCCAATTTTCAGAACTATACCGTGCATGTTATGATAGGGTTTACTGTATATATTTTGCCCCACTTGATATAAAACTGAATTTTAACTCTAACAAAAGACGCATTTTTTTTTATCACAGCCTTAATGGCCCACCTGGAATAAGCCAAACATTATTCACACTGATATTCTTTCTGTACGTCCGATATGTACTCTGTATCAGGCCTGTATCACCGGATAACATAGCTGGTTATGGTCAAGATAAGTTATGCCACCGAAGGACAGGTCAATAGAAGCAACAGCTGTGTGAGGTGGTGAAAACTGGTTCTCCCAAGACCTTGGATGCAGAAAAACATTTTTATTAATGTCATTTTTTTCGTGGTGTGGCCCTAATAGGCCCATCGGGAATCGTACCAACTGTATCCAAAAAAAAAGGTAGAAGCTAATCAGAGGACTCATGTGAGTGTATCCATGAGGTAAGAGTCTGTGAAGAACGAGGGACAATTCCTCAGGCAGGTAATGTTTGTGCTGGATATCTAAGAGGGTATATACGCGGATATCTACACCTAATCCTGAGCAAGGCCACAAACAGCAGAACACGGTAAGCCATATTTAATTTCATCTTGTGAGTTCGGAAGTCCTTGCCGTTGTATGAAAATATTAGCACCAAAGCAAGTAACAGAAGGCCAACACGTGAGCGTAATCACATCGAGTCTCACCCCACAAGCATACATGGATGGCCTACCAATGGTGAACACAGAGATTAAGTTAACCTTATGGGACGTTCCCTGTCCATCCAGAGGAAAGGCACTCCAAAGCTTTTAGGCTGGTAGACATGCCTACTATGGCTTAGAGGCAGGACCAAAACTGGACAAGGGAGGGAATTAAGTGAAAAATTTGTAGAATTCGGTCGCAATGGCCTCGGACATCTGGAGGAAAATATGGACCCCATACGAGTGGTTCCAGTCTATGTACAGCCCATGCAACGTGAGTGATTTCTATACTGTGTGTAGCAACTAAAGGATAGAATAATCTAGATAATTGCTGATACAGGGCTTAATTAACTGAATGCTGTAATGAGTAGTAGTGCACGTAGTTACGAGGATCACACCGTCAGTCATCTACCACAGGGATACCCACAAATTTAGTTACCTGATAAAACCTTGGCCAGAAAGAGGTGTCGGCCCTGGGAGACAGATATCCAAGCAGCCCCTGGAAGGCATTGTAAGAAGAGGAGCCTGAGTGTGTCCAGGGAATCAGGCCTGTATATGTACCTGTGGGAGAAAAACAAGGAGAAAAAAGCCCTCACATCTAAGAAGCAGTGAGGAAGTGCAGGGAAGGGCCTCATCAACCCATGGATGTACTGACCACTGGGACCTTTGAATGTTAACCACTCAGAGGCTGCATTGCTAGGTGGAGGCCCCATATACAAGGTGGAGGTCCCATACACAAGGTGAAGGTCCCATATACAACGTGGAGGCCTCACATACAAGATGAAAGCCCCACATACAAGGTGGATGCACCGTATAAATGGAGAAAGCATGATGGTGCAGGAGTACCTGAACAACCTGGATGGAAAAGCAAGCCAGAAATGATGACCAGGCACGTGAAATACATAAAAAAGATTCTGTGGTGGATGCTTAGTCCATTATAGAGACCCCCGCCTGCTGAAATAGAAACTTCTGTATCTAGCAGGAGTAAAACTGCTTGTTTGGTGAACAAAGAACTAAAGAGTGGTGAGAATGAAGCATTCATTCAATCATTGTGGGAAGATGTGGGAAAAGAGGGACAACATGAAGAGGAGAATGAGGAAGCCTGTCCTTTGCAATAATCATAGTAGACACTAGAATGTTGCAGTGGTAGATCACACAGACACGTTACCATTAAGATTGTGAAAAAGAGGTCAACAGACATGAATGAAGATTCAGGGCACTGAATGGAGAACAAATAGCATAGCCACAAACTGGTGGTGCATCTCGTCACGATGAAAATAACAACCTTGATGAAGCTGCTGAAGACATCTCCAAAAGATTCATCAACAAGAAGAAGAACTTGCGGAAGTTGTGATGTATCAGAGGGTCGCTGTGGAAACCCGCCTGGGTTGAACAAAGGGGCAAGCCCCAGAGATGACCTGAGCTCCATCTTGAATATGGTCACAATGAGGCAGGTTTTCCCACTGCCACAACATAAAGATCCCAGAGAAGATAAGCAAAGCTGTATTAGATACTCCCCAGTACGTAGCTCCGAAGAAGGTCCACGGGGAAACTAGAAATATTCCTCAGGAAGAAAAGCAGGATCTTAGTCTGAGTAATAGAGAGTGAGAGTCATCTAGGAACTAACATGCCATCCTGTGAGAGATAACCCCCCCCCCCACAGGCGATAGCCAACGCCCATTTAAGGTAGTGACACTTTAGAAATGTTTCGTCCAGGCCCCGAAATGCTGTGCATAACCAGGAGGTTTTCTACAAAGCATCTCAATAATGTTATTTTTTTCGGATACATGTGTAAACCATTCTTACTAGAAACAAACTTTATCATTTGTCATTTACTCCGGAACAGGAAGATGAAGTGTTGGAACATGACCCTACATTATGTATAACAAAAAAAGTACAGTGAAGGTTGCACCGTCCCGAATCACCTGATGTATATACACCAAAAGATACTTCAACTCTCGGCATACATATGATTGTGATGAATGGTTTGAAAAACCGACAAGTTGAAGATTGAGACACTTATGCAGCATATGGGAATCTTTATTCAGGAAACGTTTCGCCACACAGTGGCTTCATCACTCCAATACAAAGAGGAAGGCGTAAGGAGAGGAGGAGTATGAGGTAATCAGTCCCTCAGCCTGGAGTCGATATGTTCAGTCTACAAGATTGATGGACTGAACACATCGACTCCAGGCTGAGGGACTGATTACCTCATACTCCTCCTCTCCTTACGCCTTCCTCTTTGTATTGGACAGATGAAGCCACTGTGTGGCGAAACGTTTCCTGAATAAAGATTCCCATATGCTGCATAAGTGTCTCAATCTTCATACACATGATTGTCACAGGATGAAAACTCTGGGCTGGACAACTGAGGCAACCCCAGATGATGTCAGCCACAACACATGAACATCAAACTGGAGGTAATGAAAGCCTCTTACTGAGTACAAAGTCCCTGTATGGGCCTTATTGGGGCTTAGAGAGGTAAGTATCAGTGTGTATGACGTGCGACATATTCCAAGTGGTGACCGAGGGCCACATAGCAGAAAAAAATAATGCGACTTTATTGCACTGTGACTCATTCATTTACAAAACTATGAAGACCATTTAAATAAGATGAGGCATGCATGACACATTTGCTGCTCAGCCTCAGCACAGTCATTCACTGAGCTAAAGGGAACAAGCACAAATCACTAGCACTGATACAGATATTTTGAAAATAATATGCAGTAAATACCTAACAAAACAAATTGATTAGTAGTGTACAGAAACTCACTGTGAGACTGAAATAAGCAATAATGCAGTCACCTAATCTGTTTTGCTTTCACTATTAAGGTTTGTTGCTTGTCAGCAGTAGTACCTGCACTCTTAAGGAAGGGTAAGCATGTTCCAGTTCATAAGTCATTTGCAATGTGATATCTGCGTACTTTCGGAAAGACAGACATTGGCGGAAAATGGCGAGTGCTATATTTATATATATACGCACATATGTATATATATATATATATATATATATATATTATATATATAATATATTATATATATATATATATATATATATGACTGTACATGCACGTATAGTGTGACCTCAATGTAAGCAGAAGTAGCAAGATGTATCTGAAACTTTGCAATTTCATGAGACATAGAAAAGACACCAGCAACCCTACCATCATGTAAAACAATTGGAGGTCTCTGTTTTACACTCACTTAGCACGACGGTAGTACCTCCCTGGGCGGTTGCTGTCTACCAACCTACTACCTCCAATACATACATATATACATAATACATACATACATACATACATACATACATACATACATATATATATATATATATATATATATATATATATATATATATATATAATATATATATATATATATATATATATATATATATATATATATATATATATATATATATGTCGTGCCGAATAGGCAGAACTTGCGATCTTGGCTTAAATAGCAACGCTCACCTTGCCATATAGGACAAGCGAAAATTTATGTATGCAATAATTTCTCCAAAATCATTCTGAACCTAACGAAAAAAATATATTTCACTGTGTTTGTTTAGTATTAAATTATTGTAAACAAATCTAAAATATATTTAGTTGGGTTAGGCTAAAATAAATTGTTCTTGTTATAATAAGGTTAGGTAAGTTTTCTAAGGTTCTTTTGGTGCAAAATTATAAATTTTTACATTAACATTAATGAAAAAATATATCTTTAAACGTATAAGAGAATATTTTAGAAAGGACTTAATTTTAAACGAGTTCTTACTAATTGACCAGTTTTACCTATTCGGCACGACATATATATATATATATATATTATATATATATTATATATATATATATATATATATATATAATATATAATATATAATATATATATATAATATATATATAATATATATCATATATTATAATATATATATATGCTCCTGGCCCCGCCTCTTAACTGGCCGCTACTGGGTCACTCTCCCTGAACCATGAGCTTTATCATACCTCTGCTTAAAGCTATGAATGGATCCTGCCTCCACTACATCGCTTCCCAAACCATTCCACTTCCTGACTACTCTGTGACTGAAGAAATACTTCCTAACATCCCTGTGATTCATCTGTGTCTTCAACTTCCAACTGTGTCCCCTTTTTGCTGTGTCCCATCTCTGGAACATTCTGTCTCTGTTCACCTTGTCAATTCCTCTCAGTATTTTATATGTCGTTATCATGTCCCCCCTATCTCTCCTGTCCTCCAGTGTCGTCAGGTTGATTTCCCTTAACCTCTCCTCGTAGGACATACTTCTTAGCTCTGGGACTAGTCTTGTTGCAAACCTTTGCACTTTCTAGTTTCTTACGTGCTTGGCTAGATGTGTGTGCGTGTATGTACTCACCTAATTGTGGTTGTAGGGGTCGATTCATAGCTCCTGGCCAAGCCTCTTCACTGGTCGCTACTAGGTCACTCTCTCCCTGCTCCATGAGCCTTATCATACATCTACTTAAAGCTATGTATGGATCCTGCCTCCACTACATCACTCTCCAGACTATTCCACTTCCTGACAACTCTATGACTGAAGAAATAATTCCCAACATCCTTGTGACTCATCTTAGTCTTCAACTTACAAATGTGACCCTTATTGCTGTGTCCCATCTCTGGAACATCATGTCTTTGTCCACATCGTCAATTCCTTGCAGTATTTTATATGTCGTTATTATGTCCCCGCTCTCTCTCCTGTCCTCCAGTGTAGTCAGGTCGATTTCCTTTAACCTTCCCTTGTAGGACATACCCCTTTGTTCCGGGACTAGTCTCGTTGCAAACCTGTGCACTTTCTCTAATTTCCTGACATGCTTGACCAGGTGTAGGTTCCAAACTGGTGCTGCATACTCCAGTGTGGACCTGACGTACACTGTGTACAAGGTCCTGAATGATTCCTTACCGAGGTGTCGGAACGCTATGCTTAGGTTTTCTAGTCGCCCATATGCTGCAGAGGTTATTTGGTTGATGTGTGTCTCAGGAGATGTGCTCGGTATTATAAGATCCTTTTCCCTGAGTGATGTATGCAGTCTCTGGCCCCCTAGACCGTATTCTGTCTGCGGTCTTCTTTGCCCTTCCCCGATCTTCATGCCTTTGCACTTTGTGGGATTAAACTCTAGGAGCCAGTTGCCAGTTGCTAGATCCCTTTGTGGTCCTGCTTGATCCTTATCCGATTGAATTCTCCCTATCAGCTTCACATCATCTGCAAACAGGGAGACTTCTGAGTCTATCCCTTCCGTCATGTCATTCACATATATCAGAAACAGCACCGGTCCAAGGACTGACCCCTGTGGAACCCCGCTCGTTACAGGTACCCACTCTAACACCTCGCTACAGGTACCCACTCTAACACCTCGCTACGTACCATGACTCGCTGCTGCCTTCCTCTTATGTATTCTCTGATCCATTGCAGTGCCTTCCCTGTTATACCTGCCTGATCCTCCAGCTTTTGCACTAATCTCTTGAGTGGAACTGTGTCAAAAGCCTTCTTATAGTCCAACGAAACGCAATCTACCCCCCCCCTCTTGCCTTACCGCCGTCAACTTTTCATAGAACTCCAGTAGGTTTGTGACACAGGATTTCCCTTCCCTGAACCCGTGATGGTTGTCGTGAATAAGCTCATTCCTTTCTAGGTGCTCCACCACTCTTCTCTTGATAATCTTCTCCACGACTGTGCATATTATACATCTCAGTGACACTGGTCTATAGTTTAGTGTTGCCTGTCTGTCTACTTACTTAAAAACTGGGACTACATTTGTACTACACCTAGGTTTCCCCCTGTTTCGATGCTGTTTGAAGATTGTGTTAGATGTGTACACAGAGCACCTCTGCACCTCTCTCTCAGAATCCAGAACCCACTGCTTCCTTGCCACCTTTGTCCATATGTACCATGCTATCTGTTGATTCCTTGACCATTCTTTCTCATTGTATATTGTGTCAATGGAAGTTCCCTACACTTGTTTCACCTCTTTCTAATTTGGTCAATTTCTCCTTACCTCTTCCATCTCTAATAATCTTCAGTTCTTGGGACCCGTTCCTTAGCTCCGAGGGTCCTTCTTGTGTGTTTTCTCATGAATACTACAACAATTAGGTCTAGTCTTGGCTTCGTCGTTCCACTCACTTTCTCTGGGTGGCCTACTGTCTGATGTCTGAAATTTTCCATAGACAATCTCCTTTATTCTCCCTGGTTCTTGGCCTCTCCTTGGCTTCCGTTTTCCTTGTAACTGAAGTCCCTCACAACCTATGTTTGACGAGGCCCACGTGCTGCCTTCTTCTCATTTCAGCCAGTTTGTCTGACCTCTCTCACTTCCTTGCATTCTGTTGCCTCCTCTATTCTGTGTGTTATACTTACTGCAATTCTTTTTCATTGTAGCCTTGTGAAGTTCTCATCTTATCACCTTCTTCTCATTTGCGCCCTACTCACTGCCTTCAAAATTCCATTGGTTCTGATAGTAGTTGAACTCACCCTGTCCTATTCCCATGTCTTTCCTCAGGTTGATAATCACTGAAAACTGATCAATCGTAAGCTTAGTAGCTTGAGCGTGATCACCCTCACTTCTCTCTCTGGTAGTGTGC